CCCTTTGAGTCTTTTGATATTGATTTCTAGTTTTTTATTGATAGGAAGGACTTAACTCCCATGCCACATGGGAGAAGAGTTATCCTAGCCACTATATGTTTTTTAGCTGATGTTGCTACCGGAACTCCTCGATCACAGTCTTCTAAAGCAGCCCTCATATCATCGCGGGAGTATTTCAGCAATTGACGTTTTTTTGTAGCCATAACAGAAGCACTTGATTCAACAATGGATCGAAACCTAAAAAGAACCAAAGGTTGACATGAATATGCTCCAAAAGTTGACACACATGTCATCTATTGGTTCTAGATCAGTTCGAGTGGTAAAACAAATAGCCGAATAAATGGAAAAAATTTACGTATAAAAAGAAGTTGAAATATTAAAAGAATTATTTTCCAGCTAATAACCCAAAGGTTGACACTTATGTCAATTTTTGGGTATAACGTATATTTTTGAACCAATAGTTGACACCCTGATTACAATTCTTAACCCTTGAAGATTTTTGAACATTACAATTCAATTATAATCTTCACGCAATGATATTTTCCATAATTAATAGTATGGTTCAAAAGAGTAAAGCTCACTTCAAATATTTCTGAATAATCGCACCACACTCCTTAACTGATGTCTTTAAAAACACAAGTGTCAAAAATTGGGTGTTTTACCTTTGTTCATAATGTTCTGGAACATAATTTTCATGATCCATAATTCCCATGAAACAAGACGATCAGTCACGGTTTCTCTACCATGTTTAGAGGCCCTATGAATGGGAAATGTCTAACCCTATAGATACTCTGAGCCAGTATATGCCCTTTGGAGAACATAAAAATAACGGAAAGTGTAATGAAAGTTTACCTCTGCCTTCCGGGAACAAGCAAAATTTCGGAAGCGCACTTTTTCAGTTCTTTTCTTTAAAAATTATTTCCAGGTGCATTTCCCAGTACTATCAATTTCTAAGGCACTCTTAACATCTGAAAAAATAATTTCCGATAAAATTTTGTCTTCATGTAAAGATGAGTTCAAATGGAAATATTCAGTTTGAGATAACTTCACGATAATCAAGGAGAAAACCTTCATGTTCCTGTGTACCTGGCACAGGATGAACCTGAATGTTCATGTGTACCTCCTTTGCATGACTCATCAAATTTGATGAATACAGGCATTTGAAAATCCTTCAGAACACTTCCAAATTTTGAAACCGATTGAATTGGCTAACTGACACTGAAGATTCCGACGAAAGATTTGAATTGTAATCAATAATTTCAGTTGACTTCAGTGATTTAAACTATTTCAATCACGTCTTCACCTCTAGAAGAATTATAACTAGCCTTTGTCCTCGAGCAGTTTTTGTCCCTTTTCTCTAGCAGTCTCAGTGTCGTTTTTTCTGAAGTGATTTCAATTATTTATCACGTACAAGTAGTTGATCATCGATTAATCCAAGGATTATTTCATTCATTTCAAATTCGATCCTGTATACTTCCTGTTTGATGAAATAGAAAATTTATAACTTTGTTCACAGTTAAACATATAATATGTTTATGATTTATAGTCAACCTTGTTCTCTTTTAACTTGTTCGAATGTCGTAAAAAATTTGAAATAGCTATTTATGATATGAGTGTTGAAAGTAAGGTGTCATTTTGTAATATTCATTTTAAAAATTTCAAGTTCTTGGGAAAAACAAGTAATAGGCAAAGGTTTTTTCCCCAATTCCAGACGTAGTGAAAAATCTTGAACTGAAAAAAATGCAGAATTGGGTGAAAAGTTTCCATATCAACAAAATATGAAAAATCTGCCGCTGTAGCTACTATCAAAAAATTATACATACGTCATGGCTTTTTGAACAAGAAACTAAACACATTTGTTTGGGAATTCCTGCTTTGCCTTGTCGTGGTATTGTGAGTAGGTATTGAAAGAAAAAAATAGAAAAATAAAATAGTAACGTCTACCATCAATTTATTAAAATTATTCACTTTTTGTAGTGCTTAAATTACATGAGAAATTCAAATACATATGAAAATTTTTAGAACTTCTGATCTCTGGACTGCTATATCAAATATTCTTGAAACATTTGAACTGAAAACAAGTTAATGTATAAAATTAATATTTTCTCTTCAGAATTCATTCATTATAAGATTCCGGCCTCAAGGAAAGACCCTGGTATTTCATTTATACGTGGTACATAAACTTTTTACATTATCTTATTCAAAACGGAAGGAAACAGCGGTGGATCAAGGATGTCACAGAATCATCAATTACCGTGAAAGTAAAATCAATAGATTTGTGGTATTGAAGGCAGGACATGAATAATGGAAAAAGACATGATGAGTTCATCCTTTCATTAAAATATGAGGTGTCAATTATCTGCTTAAGAATAAGGACGATGTTTATTCCAGGAACTACATTGATAATAAATGAGAATTTAATGACAACTGAATACTGGAAAAATTGTTTTATCTAACAGTAATAAAATAACACTAAAAATGAACAGACACTAGTTTAACAATACAGGACGTCATTTGCCAGATTGTATTATCTTTTCTGTTGCAGGAAATAACCCAAAAAATCCTACGACACCTTGCCTGTATAAAATATTGTAGAGATTCAGTTGTACCATTTTCCAGTGACATTCAGTTCTAGTTGTTGATAGATAGATAGATAGATATATAAGATAGATAACGTTATCAACTACGTAAATACAATGTATATTTGTAGCAGGTCTAAAAAGATGTACATTTGTAAGGTCCTGTAGATCTGAACTCCACATGGAATCAATAACATAACTATTTCAGGTGTTACTACGACTACGCGTATCGCTAACAGGTGTGTCCATATACTCACGAATTGAATAAAACACATTTTCCGAAAGAAATCATTTTAATTTTTTTTTCAAGCAAATTATATCTAGAATTTTCCAACTGGATGGCAATTTATTGTAGAGAGCAATATCTAGAGAATTATTAGCAGATTTATTTAATCTAAATCTCTGTGGTCTGAGATGTCCATCACCTCGGGTGTTATACTCATGAAAGTTTGAATTTATACTAAGTTTATTTTTTCTACTATAGATTTCTAGTACTTGGTGGAAAATATAAAGAGCAGGTAGTGTCATGACATTGAATTTCTGATTCACAATGGTCTCTGAAGGCAGCACTAGCAATAATTCAGATGAGAGTGAAAAAAAGCATAGTAGATATTCATTAGTGTGTCAAAACTTATTATATTATTCAGTTTTCTCAGAATAAAAATGGAGCTTGAAAGTTTGGAGCAGAGCCTCTCGATGTGAAACGTCCAATTCAGGAAGGGATCTAGAAAAATTCCTAAAAGTTTTGTAGGTTCATTGCAACGTGTTGCCTGTGACGAAAATGTCATATGATTTGTTTTGCTAGCGTTGAGTTTCAAACTGTTTGTTGCAAACCAACATTCGGCTTTTTTTTCAGTTGCTCGATTTGTTATTGTCTGGTTTATATTTTGATGAAAGATAGTGGTGTCATCCGCGAACAGGTTGAATCAACTAAATGATAAAATAAGTCATTTACGTAAATGATAAATAGAAGTGGCCCCAGCACAGAGCCCTGCGGTACCCCATATTTCATTGTTACTGTTTCTGACGTGATAGCATTGAAGCACACTGACTGTCTTCTATCTTTAAGGTACGAGTCAAAGAGAGCTAGGGTTATACCTCATACACCGTATGGATTCAATTTTTCGAGTAGCAAATCATGATTTACGCAATCAAATGCTTTTGTTAAGTCAAATAGAGTCTTCAAATCCTTCTACTATGTTTTCAACTGCTTTGGCTACAGCTTTTATAGTGGAGGTGTTCTTCCGAAATCCAAACTGATTTTCATGAAGCAATTCGGATTTCTAAAAGTAGGTACATGGATAAACGAATTTTCAAAATTTTCTGTGAAATTGATGCTACACTTTGAAACACTTGAAAAAATTTTGAACCGTCTAGAGATTGTGTCTTTTCGAACAACCTCTCAGAAGTTCCTGGCCTGACCTAAAGATGGCAGTAGTTGTTTAAAAAATATCACTATCTATATCTGTAGTGTAGGGTGCGTGCGTGTAGACCCACAGTACTAAGGCCACATATGACCCATTGTACATCCTCCCGAAGAGTTGTCCTCCTAGGTCATCGTCCATCCTGTCCTCTCCAGGAAGGTGGACAGATCTCTGGCAAACATCTCCTTTATATTGGCAGGTGAAGGCCAAGACTCGCTGAACACACACTCTCTTTGGCAACCTTGAGGTGTCTCACGGTGGCCTTCGCGAAGGTTTTGGAAGGTACAGGGATATTACTGTCGCTGCGCGGCTTCCTCGACCTTTTTGGGGATCCCTCCGTGGAGGTACACAACTGAGGGAGCTTTCCTGCAGGGGCCGCCGGTTCCTTGCCTTTATTTAAGGCGGAGCTCTTGGCGCCTACCGCAAGAAGTGCCCTTGTTGTTGGAGGTGGAGTGGAGGAGGAGTAGGGTGCACTTATAGTTGCTGCCACTTCTGCTTTCTTCACTCTCTTTCTCCTTTTGGCATAGGCACCGCAAATGCGCTTACGCCTTGGACTTTGTATTACATTTCAAGCGGTAGATTGAGGTAAACATTTCTGTTCATCCCCAGCCACCGCCTTAGATTGAAGTGAGCACGTCTGTACAGCCTCGGGATTGGTTTTTGTTGTTTCTGTTTCTGTGTTTGTTCCATTCATGTGTGTTCCCACGAGTAGCACGGGAATAGTTGGTCACCTCTAGCAGAGCCCCGCTTTACCAGAGGTAGGCTGATTACAATGAGGTTCCGCCCAGTTCCCCAAGGGGATCGTTCGTGATCACATATCACCCTGCGGCCATTCAGCTGTCGCCTGACCTTAGCTTGGGTAGGCTGGTTCACGGTAGGGGAGTTTTAGTTCCCCTCACCCTACTTATTTCTGCCACTGACCAGGAGTCCGGCGACCCCGTCCGTAAGGCCATATTGGCTTCCCGGACAGGGCCTCCAGTCCCCTGGCCGTTCCCCTATATGCCACCTGGGGACGCCCCCGATAGGTAGCCCAATCCACGGAAAAAGATCACTATATTAGAAGAAAGAAAGACCCGATGCCTTGTTGAAATTAAGCTGTTTCAAAATTCGCCTGACTAGACGTTGTTTAAAAGTAATTTCCAGCATTGTGAATTCTACTGTGGAAATAGACTGTGCTTAGACCACAAAATCGACTGAGGAATGGGACGATATTGTTCAGCTAGTAGATTTGCATTTTCTATGGCTGTTTTTGCAATTGAATCATCCGCTTGTGTTAGTGGTAGTATTGTAGATTTTGTAAAGTTCTGATCAACAGCTTTAGCTACCGATCAGAAGGATCTAGACTCGTTGGAATTGTCTACCAGTTTATGCCTAATTCTCTAATTGCGAAGTTCTTTGCTTCTATATCTATTAACAGAATTGTCCATAATTTGAGCAGAATGAAAAATCAACAGGGTTGTGAGTACATGCAACTACATATTTTTCAAACTTTCATTTCAGGTGAAGGACATCTGTAACGAGCTCGAAGTTCGGTGTTTGTGTCACAAAATTCTCCAGAATGTTTGTATGCTCCTCCATGCCGACCGTGGTTCCCTCTTTCTAGTCCAAGGCGATAAAAACAGTGGATGTCCTCACAGTCCCGGAAGTGGAAACAGAGATCGGTGTTTAGTATCCAAGCTGTTCGATGTCTGTTCCAAGAGTACCCTCATGGAGATGGAAAAAAAAGAAGAGATCAAAATACCACTAGGAACGGGCATAGTTGGCTACGTGGCTGAGAGTGGGGAGCCCGTTAATATACCCGACGCCTACCAGGTGAGTGATTAAATGATTATATGAAAGAAATCTTTTATCCCTTCTTCTCACACAAAAAATATGTAATCAATTTTTCAGAGTGACAAATATTATAGGTACTTGGTTTTGACATAACACTCTCTTTGTATTCAACATCAACTGTCGTAGGGGTTAGAGGTGTTGTAATTTTTTTCTTCTACTTAATTCTAATAATTCTACTTAATTCTATTACGGAGAAACCCTCACCATTTATTTAATTGAATTGCATTGCAGTTGGTTTTCATATGAAATGTGTAAAAATGTTTGGTTTATTTTGATAAACCATATGATCATATGACCATATGTTTCAAAAATCTTTTTTTTAACTAAAATTATGAAATTATGAAATAGAACATGTTTTAATGAATTTGTTATACCTGTAAAAACTTGATATTACTTACGCATTGGAAATCACTCGTATGCATGCGAAGCGCTCTTCATTCACAACGGTTCCGGTTAGTGAAACCCTGGGATGTGGGGGTTGGGCTAACCGGCCATCGGATGCCTGCTTCCACGTAGCCCCGCTGGATACGGGAATGACAGAATCACTTTTGGTTCTGTTATTCCCTCACTGAATGGCATCCCAACGACGGCTCAATCCTAAGGTATGTGTATCCGTGCCAAGAGGATGAATGATACTGAGCCATCAGCTGTCTCTACGGAACCTTCGAGATACCGGGCGCCCTCTCGTCATAGCATCGCCTTGTCACGGTAATGCGTGGCTCTGCCGTGATTGACCTTCTGCTACTCGTGGGACTTTTATGGACAGAGTAAACTTGAAAATTCTTTCTTATGCTGAGTCTACAGAGGAGATGGTGGATATCAAGCTTACGACTCCAACTGACCTCCCTTTAAATTCAGATCTGGAGCGAGAGCTTCTCAACTCTCCAACACCTGATCCAAAAACTGAACCTTAAAAAAACGTTTAGTGGTGCAGCCAGAAAACGACTGAGTTGTCTCCTCAAAAGCGGGGTACTTTATGAAACCACTTTGCACCAAATTCTTGAGCGGCGTACGCAGAATCTGTCTCAAGTGGAGGAACAAACCCCCCATGAGCAGGTTAGCAAACGTTTGCGCTCAAGTAATGATTTACCAAAACCAGAGGCGAAAAAAACCTGCACCGCTAAGTCTGAGGCATCGTCAGATGTAGCTGATGTGCAAACACCCTCATATGGGAAGGTTGTCACGGGTATCAAGGTGGGAATCTTGCACCTTGACTATCCGACTGCCTCATCAATGATGAAACAGCAGACCCACTCACTTTTGACCTAACATAACCTAGTGAAACCTCATTAGCGGGTTCATCCCTCCAGACATCATTACCTTATATGAACATTGCTTGAATTCAACATACTTTCATTGCGAGTGAAAATTGTATGAGCAAAAAGAAGGAGTTGCAATGGGAAGTCCACCGAGTCCAGTAGTTACCAACTTCTACATGGAACAATTCGAACGACGAGCTCTAGAACATTCGCCGGTTCGCCCCTCCCGTTGTCCCCGATATGTTGATATTTTCGTGGTTTGTAGTCACGGGGAAGAAGAATGGGCAAAATTTCTGGGATATTTGAATTCTTGGAACCCGAAAACTCAGGAGAAATGAAGAAAAAACGGAAAGGGAGAATCGCTTTTCTGGATGTACGGCAACGTGACAGACGGGGACATGAAGTATACAGAAAACCAACTCATACGGACCGATATTTGAACAAGCAATCCATTCATCATGCGCATCAGAAAAGAGGGGTTGTTAAGAATGCGGTAGAGGGGGCAAGACGTATCAACGAACCGGAAGGGCTACATATGTGTCATCTGAAAAATGCGTTTCTGGGTAACGGATATAACGAGGCCGAAATAAACCGAGACTTACGACCCATTAAAAACACTACACGGTTACACTGGAGCTAACGGCCAATGGAAGAACTTTCCTGGCCTACATACGCAGAGTGTTGGACCAAATTAGAAGGATCTTCGAATGATTGTGGAGTTGAGGGTGCATTTTCGAACCCAAAGGAACGATAGAGAATTGTCTCTCTCAGAGGGCATACATGACATTGTCTTTGAACGTAGGTAAGTTCGTGATAAAACCAGGCTCTTCAGAGAGACCATAGAAATACATGAATATGGGCACTTTATAACACAAAAATTGTTTCAATAATTATCGAAGAAGAATCAAACCAGACAGGTATAACAGTAGTCAGCCGTCCAACACTCAGTTCCATTATAAGTTGAAACGACCATTTTTGTTTCACGCAGCGCAGCAAAAAAAAGTATAATTCCCTATTTTACAACCCAATTTGAAGTCAGTGATCAAGTTTGAGAGATTGTTAGTACATGCAATACCATGAATATCAGATGGCAGAAAAATAATCAAGGTCAGAACGAATTAAACTATAGTATAGGATCTTCAGAGTAGTAGGCATAATTGTACCACTCTGGATATATGATTTTTGAAAGGCAGTTTTGTATGGTAATCAAAGTAAATGAGAGGATGAGAACGAGGAAAAAACCTGACAACACATTTGTCTATATTGAGGTCCATGCCAGTCGCCAGACGTCAGTGAACTATTTGATTTATGTCTTCTTGTAGAAAAGTACATAGACACTTTCAGATGCAATAACGCAGTGAATTTTAGGATCGTCATGGAGAAGTGAACATTTCGATCCTGATACTTCTTTCACAATATCACTCATGAACAGGTTGAGCGATGGTCCACAGTGGCCTCCCTGAGGAACTCCGAAACATTATGACAGTCATTTGTTCGTCACTTTTTTACTATCGTGTTTTATACTAAATGATACGTACAACTTGTTTGTAGCAGGTATTACTAAAGATAACGAAAATTATTAGTTTCAAATCGTAAAGATCGTTAACAGTACATCGTGTTTGGTCAAAAAAAGGTCATGTCACATTCACCAATTAGTGATCCTAAGGGTCAACAACCTCCATAATCCACACTGTCAGGAACATTGACAATAAAGTTACAATATACTTGGGCATAGACTGACAGGATCTCAATATCATATCTCCAATATTTGGTTTTCATTTTCCCGATAACAAACGAACGTATATATTTCGAGTTAACGTTTACTAAAAATTCTCAGTTCAGGGGAATCAGTCGATTTTGTGATATTTTAGAGAAGTGCATGTACTAGGAATTCCCATTGTTTGTTCATAATTATCTCAAACGAAGTTTTCAAGAAATACCTGTTGAAAAATTCCCCTCAGTATACCGTCTCACTTCATGAAATATGGCGTACATGCCCTTCAACAAAATACGCAGAAATTGTCATAGAAGAAAGTAATGAATAGCTCTAATATTTAAAATATGAAAATAAATATTCACGATGCGTTATATCGATATGTGAATGCTGACACAAAGCACATTAAGACATCTTTTAAGGCAACAATAGATTTCTTGGTATATTCATAGTACGTAGAAAAGATTGTTTATGTGCGCAGTGTTCCATTTATCAATAAACATATGCATACGAGGTCGCTGAAATAATTTCTCTTGGCTGGATTGCAAAAGAAATTTGCAATGGTTTTTGTCAACGAACGCACTAACCTAGATTTCGCAAGGATCATTTGTGTCATTCTTTTTGGTTATGAACGCGAATATGAACCATTGTTAGAATGGGGTTCAGCGTGTTTTGAAGCAGCTCCGCCTGTGAATCTAAGGCTGGGGGCACGAAAATCGTGACGGCCGAGCGATGGAGGCGCGCCTCATGGCGATGAGGAGAAGTATCTTGGGAGGGCTCAAAACTTCGGTCAGTAAGTCGTGCTGGAGTAGAGTGTGAGCGTCATCGTTTTGGTCGAAGATAACTTTTGGAGCCAAGTCTACTAACGAGAACGGAGTTATTATTACCTAGAAATGATGTCCATGCAATAAATAAAGGAAGAAGTAATTTTGGCGAATTTTCAACCTTTCATTACGAGCTATGGCGAACTTTTTTAGTGTCCCATAGAGCAGGTTTTGACAAAATACACGAGATAAAATCTTCACTGTCAATTTCCATTGGTACAATATTTTTCTTTACAACACTACTGTAAATCTGCCATGGCTCTGGAACGCATGAAAGCAAAAAGAGCAAAGAATAAAAGAGTAGCGAGAATACAGAGAATGATTGAAAAGGGGAATGCGAGGAGCCATGAAGGCAGCAATTTCGGCAACAAGAAAGCCCACAAAGAGGCTACGGAAGGCATGGGTAAGCTAAACCTCACATGGGACATAGTGAGAATGGGTAGTATTGACGAAGAGAGAAAGAGAATTGAAAAACGAATCAGGGCAGGATGGCAGAGAGAATGGGACACGAGGGAGACTGGGCGGGTGTTCTACAGATTCTGTAGAAGAGTCGGGCAGGAATCAGTAAATCTGTCACGCAAGGTCATCCAGCTGCTTACGGTATATGGTAACTTACCGGGATATCTTGCCAGGTTCAATCTGGGCCCAGAGTTGTTATGTTTCTGCGGCTATGGTGAGCCTGAAACGACTGAAATGTGATAAAAAGATGCATGGATGGAGATAGAACTGGATGGCGTGAATGGAAGGAACAAAAGTAGCGGGAAAATGGAGAGATAGCACTGAGAGGAGATAACGGAAGGAATAGCGAATGGATAAGGTTCGTGAACAAATGGACAAGGAATGTGGTGAGGGTAAAGGGCAGGTTGTCAGCTTGGCGCCATAGAACTTAGGGATGGACAGTGATCTCCCCAATAATAGTGAATAAAAAAAATTGTAGTCAATGTGGCATCTGATTGTAAACACATGTATTTGTAATTTCGCAAGAGTTTGAGTATTACACATTGGAATGAAAGAGTCATTCAGCTCTAAATAGTTATAGAGTTAATCGTTGAAGTTTATGTTTGCTTTATATTGATTTCATAATGTATTGGAATCAGGATTAGAGGTTATTTATTGTAATTTTTGGAAAATAAAATAAAAAGGCCTTCTGCCCCCGATGATTTGCCCTCTCGTATGGTCGAC